TCACCTTCGTCTTATATTAAATGAGCATATTGCCTTGGGTCCATTTCCGGGTTCTCTGTCCTGTTCCACTAGTCTATATGTCTGTTCTTGTGCCAGTACCAGGCTGTTTTGATTACAGTGGCTTTGTAGTATAACCTGAAATCTGGTAATGTGATCCCTCCAACTTTGTTCTTCTTTTTCAAGATTGCTGTGGCTATTTGAGGTCTTTTTTGATTCCATATGAACTCTTGAAGTATTGATTCTAGTTCTGTGAAGTATATCGTTGGTATTTTGATGGGGATTGCATTGAATCTGTAGATTGCTTTGGGTAGTATGGACATTTTAATGATGTTTATTCTTCCAAACTATGAACAAGGTATGTGCTTCTACTTTTTTATATCTTCCTCTATTTCTTTTTTTTAATGACCTGTAGTTTTCTGCAAATAGATTCTTTATTTATTTGGTTAAGTTTATTCCTAGGTATCTTAAATTTTTTGCTGCAATGTATAATGGGATTGTTTTTTTAGTTTCTTTTTCTGTGAGTTCATCATCGGTGTATAAGAATGCCATCATTTTCTTGATGTTAATTTTGTATCCTGCTACTTTGCCCAATTTATTTATTAAGTCTAGTAAATTTTTTATGGAGTCTTTGGGTTTTTCTACGTATAGTATCATGTTATCTGTGAATAATGACTGTTTCACTTCCTCCTTTCCCATTTGGATCGCTTTTATTTTTTCTTCCTGTCTGATTGCTGCAGCTATGACTTCCAATATTATGTTAAATAAGAGTCGCAAAAGTGGGCGTCCTTCTCTTCTTCCTGTTCTTAAGGGAAATGCTTTTCATTTTTGCCCATTGAGTATGATGTTGGCTGTAGGTCTTTCATATAAGGCCTTTTTTATGTCAAGCTATGATCCCTCTATTCTCACATTGCTGAGCATTTTTATCAGAAATGGGTGCTGCATTTTGTCAAATGCTTTTTCAGTGTCTATTGATATGATCATATGATGTTTATCTTTCATTTTGTTTATGTGATGTATCATATTTATTGATTTGCAAATATTGTACCAGCCTTGCATCCCTAGGATGAATCCCACTTTGTCATGGTGATGTGTTGCTGGATTCGATTTGCTAGTATTTTGTTCAGGATTTTGGCATCTATGTCCATCAGGGATATTGGTCTGTAGTTTTCTTTCTTTGTGGCTTTTTTTTCTGGTGTTGGAATTAGAATTATGCTGGCCTCATAAAATAATTTTGGAAGTCTTCCTTCTTCTTGAATTTTTTGAAATAGTTTGAGGAGAATGGGTATTAGTTCTTCTTTAAATGTTCGGTAAAATTCCCCCTTGAAACTATCCAGGCCTAGGCTTTTGTTTTCTGGGAGAGTCTGGATTACATCTTCAATTTCCTTAGTTGTCATTGGTCTGTTCAAGTTTTCTATCTCTTTTCAGTTCTGTTTTGGGAGACTATGTGTGTCTAGAAATTTGTCCATTTCACTTAGATTGTCGAATTTGTTGCCATATAATTGTTCATAATATTTGTTAACAATCTGTTGTATTTCTGTGGTGTCAGTTATTATTTCTCCTCTTTCATTTCTGATTTTGTGTATTTGGGTTCTCTTTCTTTGTTCCTTGGTGAGTCTAGCTAAGGGTCCATCAGTCTTGTTTATCTTTTCAAAGAACTAGCTCTTTGTTCCTTTACTTTTTTAGTTTAGTTTATTCCTAGGTTTATTAATTTTTTTGCTGTGATGGTAAACGGGATTGTCTTTTTAGTTTCTCTTTCTGTGATTTCATTATTGGTATATAAGAATGCTATTGATTTCTTGATGTTCTTTGTATCCTGCTACTTTGCCAAATTTATTTAGTAAGTCTAATAGATTTTTGATGGAGTCTTTAGGGTTTTCTATGTACAGTATTATGTCATCTGCAAATAATGACAGTTTCACTTCTTTCTTTCCAATTTGGATCCACTTGATTTTTTCTTCATGTCTAATTGCTGTTGCAATGACTTCCAGTACTATCTTAAATAAGTGTGGTGAAAGTGATCATCCCTGTCTTGTTCCTGTTCTTAAGGAAAATGCTTTTACTTTTTGCCCATTGAGTATGATGTTGGCTGTAGGTCTATCATATATGGCCTTTATTATGTTGAAATATGATCTCTCTCTTCACACATTGCCACATGTTTTTATTTAAAAAAATGAGTGCTGTATTTTGTCAAGTGCTTTTTCAGCATTTATTGATATGATGATATGGTTTTTATCTTTTTTTTTAATGTGGTGTATCACATTTATTGATTTGTGAATATTGTACCATTCACGTCGAAGTTTCTCTCACGTCGATGTTTCTCTCTTCCTCCTTCTTTTCTTCCCCCTCTATCTGGTGATAAATGCAAAAATGTCCTTGGGTAAAAATAAAAATAATGGGTGCTGGATTTTTTCAAATGCTTTTTAAGCATCTATTGATATGATCATATGGTGTTTATCTTTTATTTTGTGTATATGGCGTATCACATTTATTGATTTGTGAATATGGTATCAGCCTTATATCCCTGGGATAAATCTCATTTGGTCATGGTGAATATTTTTTTACATATTATTGGATTCAATTTACTAATATTTTGTTAAGGTTTGTGGCATCTATATTCATTAGGTATATTTGCCTGTAATTTTCTGTTATAGTAGTGTCCTTACCTGATTTTTAAGTAAAGGTCATGCTGGCTTCATAAAAAGAGCTTAGAAGTCTTTTTTCCTCTTGAATTTTTGGGAATCGTTGATGAGAATGGGTGTTAGCTCTTCTTTGGATGTTTGGTAAAACTTTCCTGTAAAGCTGTCTGCGCCAGAGCTCTGTTGGTTGGCAATTTATTGATTACTACTTCAATTTTCTTAGTTGTTATTGGTCTGTTCAGGTTTTCTGACTTTTCCTGGTTGAGTTTTGAAAGACTGTATGATTGTAGGAATTTGTCCATTTTGCCTAGTTTGTCCAATTTGTTGGCATATAATTGTTCATAGTATTTTTTTTAATCCTTTGTATTTCTGTAGTATCTGTTTTTACTTCATCTCTTTTGTTTCTGATTTTCTTTATTTGGGTCCTCTCTCTTTGTTTCTTGAAGAGTATGGCTAAAGATTAATCAATCTTGTTTATCTTTTCAAAGAACCAGCTCTTGGTTTCATTGATCTTTTGTATTGGTTTTTAGTCTCTATGTCATTTATTTCTACTCGTCCTTTGTTATTTCCTTCCTTCCACTTACTCTGGGTTTTCTTCTTGTACCCTTTCCAATTCTTTAAGTTATAGGGTTAGATAGTTTATTAGAAATGTTTCTTGTTTCTTGTGGTAGGCCTGTAATGTTGTTAAATTCCCTCTCCAGACTGTTTTTGCTGTCTTATAGATTTTGTATTGTGTGTTCATTTTCATTACTTTTTAGGAAGTTTTTATTTCTCTCTTGATAACCTTGATAACTTATTAATAACATGCTGTTTAGCCTCCATGTGTTTGAATGTCTTGAGTGTTTTTTATTGTAATTAATTTCTAGTTTCATGCCATTGTGATCTGAGATCTATATTCTGCATCTTTACACTGAAATGTTCTGTAAATATTAATTAAATCCATCTGATCTTGTGCACAATCTACTTTCTTATTAATTTTTTGTCTAGAAGACTTATCCAGTGATGTCAGTAGGGTGTTAAATTCCCCTAGTATGATTTCATTGCTGTCAATCTATTCCTTTAAGTCCTCCAGAAGTTTTTAAGTATATTTTGGAGCTTCTGTATTGGGCGCATATATGTTTGCCAGCATTATATTCTCTTGTTGAATCCATCCCTTTAATATTATGCAGTGACCTCTTTGTCTCTTAGTATGTCCTTCATTTTGAAGTTTATTTGATCAGATATTAGTATTGCTAACCCAGCTTTTTGTTTGTTTGTGTCCAACTCAATAATTCATTTACTAAATGTCCATCAAGAGACTCCCTAGACAAAGGGCACTGCTGGGAACATTCTGCAGAATCCTCCACAGGACTTGAGCATGTCAGAGTGTCATTGCCATCTGTCAGGAGACCAGGCAGAGCACTCTCCATGCTTGTTCTATAATAGGAGTTTTCATCCTTAGGAAGGTGGCTTCTGGCTCTTCAGCAGATTCCCTTCTGTCCCAGGCACACTGAATACCCACTGATTTTTCACAGTTAGGTGCTATGTGGGCTCCTCTTCCAACCTCTGTTGCTCTGAGTTGGGGGTCCCTGCATGGGGCTGAGACCCCACATCCCTCAGAGGAAGGAGATTTGCAGTATAGATATCTTTCATCTTCTCAGCCACTGCATGTAGGTGCAGGGGACAGCCCTTTCTGCATCTCTGCCCTTCTTACTAGTCTCTGTGTCTTCTTCTGTAAATCCTTAGTTATAATATTTCTTTTTCTTTTCTGTTTTTTATCTTTCTTTTCTTTTTTTATCTTTTTTTTATGCTTCCATTGATTTTCAGATAGAGTGGAAGGAAGGAAGGAGAGAGAGCGAGCAAAAGGGAAACATCAATGTGAGAGAGACATATTGATTGGTTGCCTCCCACATGACCCTAACTGAGGCTGGGGATCAAACCTGAAACCCAGTCATGTGCCCTTGACCAGGAATTAAACCTGTAACCCTTTGGTCCACAGGCCAATGCTCTAACCACTGAGAAAAATTGGCCAGAGCAATTATAATATTTTAGTTCAGCTAGTTTTTAGTTGTTTATTTGGGTTGATTGCTCTGTAATTTAACTGTAAATCCAGTTTGAGGCTGAGATTATATGAGTGTAGCTGCCATCTACTCTGCAGCCATGTTGGAATCCTGCTGCTTTTTCAAGTTGTAGACTGTGATGTGAGATTGTAGACAGTAATGATGGGCTAGAGTTATTGGGGAGAAAGACAGATTTTAAATAACCATTGTGAGAAGCTGGAAAGAGAAGAGATAACAAGAAAATATGTTTGGTCTTTTCTCTCCAACATAAGTAGAAGGTGATTTATTACATGTTGATTCACTGACCAATTTTTTTTTTTTCTAGGTAATGTGGCAAAATACATATTGGGAAGTAAAGAGTATCGTGATTTCTCCATTATTGCACTTTCCATTGTGGTTAAGAAAAACAATACAGTATTTACTATTTTGTTCAATAATGAGGCATACCATTCAGCTGCAACATCCTTGGCCGTATTAGACAACATTCTATTTATGTCCCTTTCTGGCCCCAGTGCTTCCATTAAAGTCTCCAACCAGCCTCAACCTCTCCATTTTTATGACTCTAGCATAGTGTATGTATGGTTTTTCTTTTATTTGGAATTGAATCTTAATATATCCCCTTGCAATTTAGCCATATACATTAGAAAATAGCTACTGAAATCATCATTTTTCTTCTTTTATCATTTACTTTATTTTTTATTTCATCTTTTGTAGGCCTAGAAGCGGACTACAGATAGTATTAAGTTTGGCTTTTGGCATGGCTGTTTTGGCTGGTAGCTTTGGCCTTCAGACAGTGACTGAGAGAACCACTAAGGCAAAGCACATCCAGTTTGTGAGTGGGGTCTATGTACTTACATACTGGCTCTCTGCTTTGCTGTGGGATCTCATCTGCTACTTCATTTCCTGCTGCTTACTACTGGTGAGTGTTAGCTGAAGTTATACGAAGGCTAATTTTTCTATGTCGCCCACCAGAAATTCCTATTCAACTAACTGTATTCTAAAATAAAACTTGTAAAGAAATTTGAAACTACTTTGGCTCATTATGACAATGGTTATATTTTAGAAACATTCTCCCTCATATGCTTTCAGATGAAAAAATATATTTTTGGAAAAGTCTCTTTTTAATTGGCTTCTCATGCAATTCTCAGCATTATGTCTTGGCCCGATACTCTAAAATGGGCTATTATTTGCCCCTTGTCCCTCACTACCCATATTGAAAAGCCACTTCCCACTAACTCCCAATGCTAAGCCCTTTGGTAAGATTGGACTGTAGCAAAGAGTGTAGAATCAAGACCTGAGTGAAGTTTCCTGTCACTATTCACCATGATCCCACATGCACTGTCTTACCCCCAAATTCAAGATGACTAGGTCTGCAAAACAGAACTAGTTTTGACTGAGACACCTGATTTTAGGAATTGAGAGAGTGGCTTAAAGAACCACAGAACTTATATGCATATATGCATGACCAATGGACATGGACAACTAAGCCGGGGACAGGGTGGGGGGGGGGTGAGGTGGGGGGTGCCAATGGGGTAAAAAGGTAAAATATCTGTAACAAAAAAATAAATAAAAATTCATTAAAAAAAAAAAAAAGAGTGAATATGTAAGGATAGTACTGCTTTTTTAAATGTAATGACTTGGCAACTTCTTTTGTATGCACATTAAGTATAAGAAAGATGTGAAGCTGTGTAGTTAACAAGGGAAGAAAAAAATGGGGAAAAGAGGTAAAACTCTTCTCTGTTGCAGGAGATATTAGGGACTTAAGTGTGACTATGATGACATCTCAGCCCTCAAACAGTTCACTCTTTAGCAGTGGACACAGAAATGAAATAGATCATTATAAAATAGCATGCCAATTGCCACTATAATGGAAAACTACCAATTCTTTATTCAAACTATACCATGGAATGGTAAAATTAGTTGTTGGAGGGAAAAGGAGAAATGTTTAGTCTGTTCGTCTCCTACAACCATAAGTAAACTTGTAATTATTGCACAGGGACCCTAGGATTTGTTCTGAAGGAGAAGCAAGTTTCCACCAGCTGGAACAGCTTCTCAGTAGGGACCAGAGGCTGGCCTGGTTCGGGGAGGGATGGGGGTGGTAGTGTGGTGAGCAAATAGCATGTACAGAGAAGTCCCAAGGTGCAAAGAGCAGCACAGGGCTTCCACCATCTCACAAGAGAGCAAGGCTCTGGCCGGTGCTCTCCTGTCAGTCTCTTCTGCCCATAGCTCACCCAGCATAAAGAGGGAAAACCATCCTTTGTGAGGGATGCTACTCTCATCCTTCACCACAGGAACGGGGAGCTGCTCCAGGCATGCTCTCTGGCTTTAACGTCTCCCTTCTGTGTAATACAGTACGTATTGTAATTGATCAGAAAACTCCTGAGTCATTTCATCTCCATGCCAAGAATCCATTCTTTCTCTGACTCTTGAAACTTGGTTGGCACACCCAGCCATCCTTTCTTGGTTAATAGTTTTATAAATAAGACCATTCATTATTAATACTTATACTAATATTGCCATTTATGGCTCATGAGAAAAGTTCCTTGTCATTTCATTTTTATGTGTTACATCATTCAATAACACAATTACTTGAAGTGACGTTAATTCATCATATTTACAAACAAGGAAACTGAGGCTCTCAGAAATAAGTTACCTATCATTGTCATTTATACATTCAAAGTCATCATGGATAATATATGTTAAAGTTATTTCTACTCTCGTATTTGCAGATCCCTCTGCCTTCGCATCTTACTCTACTCCAGCTTCTTTATTTTTGGTTCTCTTTCCCTCCCTCCCTCCCTCACTCTCCCCATGTCCCCCTCTCTCTTTTTCTCTCCCCTTCATCCAAAATGTATCTTAATGATTCTCAGACTGGATGTTCTATATGGGTTCTTAGCTTTGCCTGCTTACCTAACTTGAGTGTCCCCTGGTTTTCAATGGGATACTCCCCAGCCCTGCTCTGGTTCTGTGAAATGCCACCAAATGGACTCATTCTTGAACACAACAAGAGGAGGCAAGATTCTGTCATCTGGCCAGGATTCCTGTTTCACCCTTTCTCTGCCTGTCAGATCACAAAGCAGATAACTTTCAAGGATGAACCTATGTTGCTGGCTCCAAACCCTGATGAACTAACTGCCCCAACACTGTTTTCACCTGCTACCCCAGGAGATACTTAGTGGAGTTTAGTCGAGTCCTCTGCCTTTTCCCATGACTGAGCCCATTGCATGAAGGCCTCGGAAAGCAGAACAAGTAACTTTTCTCATGAGTTATGTTACCAAAGATGCTGCGTGGGCAGGCTTCCCTCTCATACAGTCTGTGCCTGTCTTTATGGCCTTTAGATGTCCTATAGGACACATTTGAAAACCCCACTTTCCTGAACACATAAAATTATCTCTTCAACCAACACTGAGTTCCTGCTGTAAGCTAGTCTGTGTTTTAGGCATGGATACAGCATGGGAAAGGTAGACAAGGGCTCCTCTCATACTGGCCTCACCAAGGGCTAGATAGCTGAGTCAGTATCACTTTGGAGATATGTTTCTCATAAGCCTTGAGAGACAATATATTCATCATTGTACAAGCTCAGTTCTAAAAATGTGTCCTGGAACTACGCGCTTCCCTCAGCCAGGCTGTTGTGCATTCAACCAGCTTGCTCTGCTGGCGTCATCTTTGCTGATTCCTCCCCACTGGTGAATTTATTTTTAGGAAAAGAGCCAAATAAGGATTCAGTTGTTTTTTTTATAAAATAGCTAACCCATAGTTCTTCCATCTTTTTTTGATAGACAATTACCACTGACTTGAAACACTACTTTTGATGTATATTAACTAATAACATTTAAGTGTATTTTGTATTCTTTATTCCATTGAAATATCTGTAATTTGCCAATACCCGTATGTTTTCATTGTGGTAGTTTGATAATACATTTAATTATGTTTTCTGTATTGACCTTTTTTAGCTTTCCCATTATTATTCTTCTGTGGATTTCCTGGCTATCTTGACATGTTTTGTAATTTGGAGAGAATTTATACTTTTGTCATGTTGAGTCATACCCTACCTAAAAATACGGCATGTGTCTCCGGGTATCAAAGTAGAAATTTAAATTTTCATTGAAATAGATTCCAGTTTGAAACATCTCTAAATATTATAAGCCTTGAACCAAAGCTGCTCCTAGGTCACTTGCAATTTTTCTGACTGTATTTATTCTTTTTATTTCATCCTCTTAATTGGAATGGGGGAAACAACTATAGTTATAGCTGTTTCATGTTTTTCACCTAAGCTGGCTGATTCTCTGCACATACTTTGTTTAAACAGTGTTGCTTAAATATAAACTACTTCTACGAGCATCATAGGGTTCTAATAGGGACTATTCTTATTTTAACCCTTGTTTTCCCCATTAGTGGCCTTGCTAAATAGTTATGTGATTGCTCCAAAGGGACAGCCTTGCTATCTTTAGATAAACTGTAATTACCAATTATTATCATACATATTGCTGAAAATTCTTTAACAGCTCTGGAGGTTCCCCTCCTCCTAATCTAGTCCGCTCTAAAATTATGCTTCTTTGTCTGATTCTCAAATAAATTAAGAAATAAATTAATAATAAGGTCCCTGAGTTTCTTAGATAGATGTAGGGGGGTTAAGGGTAGAGTCAGGAGGCATTGTAAAAGTGGGGAGTTATACAAGAGAGGTTAAATAAGAGCAGCCCCAGGGAAAATCTGTAGAGAAATAATCTACTTCCTAGGTCGTTTTCTTTCTGGGAAAATTCAGAGTTAGACTTAATGCAGACATAATTATTTGACTTTAATCATGAGACTCGGGGTAGGGATTAAAAAGTAATATTCTTAAAATAAAAATAAAAAAAAACTATAAAATGGAAGTGTAGTCCTTCTTATCATGAAAGTCCTCTATTGAGGAAGAGGTAGTTTAGTTTGGGCTCATAAGCTAAGGTGTTTTTTTTCAGGAGTAAGCTGATTTAAGTACTGAACAGGTGTATGCACTAAGGTGGCCGTGCTCACACTTGACGCTCCACCCAGACGCCGTGGCACAGCACCCTCACCCTTCCCTCGCCTCTGCATCTGTTTCAGGTAGTGTTCAAATACTGTGAGCTGGAGGCATTTGTGCACGACTACCACTTTGTGGACACAATGATGATCTTTATGCTGTACGGCTGGTCTGTTGTTCCTCTCATGTATCTGGGAAGCTTCCTGTTTTCCAGCAGTGCTTCTGCCTACGTCAAGCTCATCCTCTTTAACTACTTTTCAACTGTTTTCAGCAGCTTCATTCATGCCATAATGAGATTCTATGGTAAGGACTTTCCACAATTTCCCTTTTCTCCAGGAAATACATTAAATAAATGAGGAAGAAAGAGCTAGAGAATAAAAATATTCAACGTTAAGTACTTACTTTCCAGGAATTTGAAAAACGAGGCGTTTGAGTCCGTATGTGAGAGGAGGTGAAGGAGAGGGAGGGAGAGAAAGGACATGGGGAAGAGGAAGGGACAGAAGTGCTAGGTCCTCTAAAGGAGCTGGACTTCCTATGACTCTAGTTTCATCAAAGAAAAAGAAGAGTAAAAAACTACAATATAAGTGTGCAAACAATTTCTCTCTTTTGAAATATTAGCCCTTCTCCAGACTTGGTCCTTTAGTTTTAAAGTCTTAACAGCATTCACTTTGGACCAGGGTGGGGGGATGGGAGAGAGGGAGGTCCAGTGGGCTGACTCCTGCCTAGTGTAGTGCAGCCATCATCTTGACACTCGTAATGAGATCTCAAGAGAAAATATGCAACAAATATAGCCATAATTAAACCTTATTTCTTCCTGGGAGACCTGATTTTAGCAGGATTCTCTGATTATAAAGTTTGAAGAGATGACTGCTGGTGACTACCACAAATAGGATGTGTTTGGTTTTAGGACATTCCTTGGTTGAATTTCTGTGTAAACATGAACTTTGAACTGTATTCATCATTTCAGCTCTGCCTGGTATGACAGAGCCTCACCAAAGAACTGCCAGACTCATTCCCTGACTTCAGCTGTTGGCCTCACACAAAAGGAAACAGTGTGTGAGCCGAGCACAGCTTTGATTCCTTCACACTCCTCTCCAAGCAGTGGCCTAATGCCCTGGAAGAATCACTGAGCCCTTGCATAATAGGTTAGAGCCAAGCAGGAGTCATGCATTCATGCTCATACTCTGAATCATTGGTTTTGTTGTCAGTCACCTTTGTACTCTCTACAGATTCTGCCAGTGCTCTGCCCTATTACAGCCATGTGCCGCCCAATGATGTTCTGGTTAATGACAGACCACACCACATATACAACAGTGGTCTCAAAGATTAAAATGGAGCTGAATTGTCTGCAAGAAATGGAAGGATGTGTAGTTCAGGAAGAATTTTTTCTCTGGTGGGAGCAATATCTATGCGGCTTGGCAATAGATTCCCTCTTACTCATAGCACCTGTTTGAGTGCACAAATGGCATTCCACCCAGTCAGCCACGGACCTGTTTCAGCACAGAGGAGCCTGTCTCCCCAGCACTACAGAAACAGATGGTGCTACAACCCTCCCAAATCTGGCTTGATGGCCTTCAGAATACATTACTGTGAATTCCACATAATACAAGAAAGAGGTTCATAAGAACTATCTCAACAAGTATTAAGTGCCACTGACACTTTAGTAAAACTTTTTGTGGTGTGGAGCCAGCCTGCCCCTATACTTTGGAAACATTTTCAGGTTATAATGATGTAAAACATAGATCAGTTTTATTTCATCAGTTCAGTGCCACAGAGAGCCCTTTGTGACAGATACGGTCGATCGACCAAAAACAAATTTCCAAAGTCAAAAGATTGAGTCCTCAGTTCTACACCCTCCCCGTGTTAAACACCATGTTTTGTTTTGTTTTGTTTTTTTAATCCTCACCTGAGGATATTTCTTCCATTTATCTTCAGATAGAGTGGAAGGGGGGGGGGGGGGAGAAACATTGATGTGAGAGAGACACATCGATTGGTTGCCTCCCACATGACCCTAACCAGGACTGAGGACCAAACTGCAACCGAGAATCAAACCCACAACTCATTGGTGCATAGGCTGACACTCTAACTGCTGAGCCAAACAGGCCAGGACTAAACACCATGTTTTTAGTGGATATCACAGAATTTTTTAATCTGACCCTCCAACATGCAAAAGCCAAACCACATAGCCATGGCAATGCCTGAAGTTTCTTTCTCTCCATCTTGAGTTCATATTCCTACCAATCTTTAGGCCACCTTTCACTCCCTCCTGACTATTACTATCATGGTGATCTACTCCTCACCCAGCCAGTTTCTCCTTAACACTTCCAGTCCTCTCAGCCCACATCTTACTCATGGAGCAGCACTGACAGCCTCGATGTTTTATTTATGAACCTGTTAGATGGAAGCAAGGGGAGGACATATGGGACAGTGTTAATAAAGTCTAGCCCTGGCCGGTTTGGCTCAGCGGTTGGAGCGTCGGCCTGCGGTACAGAGAGACCCGGTTTCGGTTCCCGCTAAGGGCACGTACCTCAGTTGCAGTTTGTCCCCGGCCCTGGTTGGTCGTGCGGGTGGCAGCCACTCGATGTGTCCCTTCACATCGATGTTTCTCTCTCTCTGTGTTCCTCTCTCTCCCTCCCACTCTATCTGAACAAAAAATGGAAAATGTCCTCGGGTGAGGATAAAAAAAATTAAAAATAAATAAAAAAATAAAGTCTACAGTAGTGGTCAGCAGTGTCCTAGGCCTTTACATTCACTCACTGACTCACCCAGAGCAACTTCATGGTCAGTGCCATTCTTTTGAAATCTATAGTCGACAGATCCATCCTACAAACTATCAGTGTGAACAAGATTAGTGACTTAAAGGAGTGTTTACTAAAGGATCATCTGCTAAGCTGGTAATTCTCTGAGAATTGTTTAGTCATCTTGGGGAAGTCTGTTGTTATCAGAGGTTAACTACTGTCTTATAATTGAAGCTAATCTTTGATCTTTTTATTTAATTCTTTAGTTACACTTATTAGAATGACATTGGTTAATAAGGTTATATAGGTTTCAAGTGTATATTTCTATAATACATCATCTGTATATTGCATTGTGTGCCCACCACCCAAAAATCATAGACAATGAAATCCCTGCCTTCACCAAAACCATCGTAGATAATGTGTTACGGATGCTTCCAAGTTACAACTTTGCAGTTAGTGTCAGCAGATTCTTTGATGACTATGTAATAAAAAAAATGTGTACCCAAGGATTTTACAACATTTCATTCAACTGCAGTAAAAAATGTGAGTATCTGGGGCTCCCCATGTCCTTAACCACAACCTATTCCTTTTCAGACTTCCACATTTAAGTTTAAATTGTGGAAGATAAGAAAAACCTGCTTTTCTCCAAGGACAGGCTTGCTGTTTTTGAGAGCTCTTCACCCGTCATGTTAGCTAATATTTTTCCAATTTAGTTCCCAATGAAAAAACAAAACTCCTTACTTAAACTAAAGATTAAATAAGTACCCTTGGACAATTAAGCTTTAAGTGTCACACAGATCAAAAAAAGGCAAATTCTCAGACTAATCAAAATGAGAAAAAAACAAAGGCATGTTATTAAATTTTCTATATTTTAGGTTTATTTTGTATTTAAGACTGATTCTAAAAATAGATAATCCTATTTAATGTGTGTGTGTGTGTGTGTGTGTGTGTGCGCGCGCGCATGCACAATTTGTTGTAGAACCAAGTAATTTATATGCAGCCACAGAAAGATAAATGTAATTTAATTTCACTAAATCAGTGCAGGATAAAATATAATTATTAGGGTCAAATAAATTATATTTTCTTTAATCTCTGAATAACAAAAATTATCACATTTTAGTTTGCATTATATTTGGATTGTAAAATTCTCTCTCTGCTTTTTAAAAATAGCTCTATAGAGTTATTATTTACATACCATAGTCAACAGTTTTAATTAATTTAACTTATTTTTATTATTTATTATGTTTAGTAAATTTATAAATTGTGCAATCAGTACCACAGGTCAACATTAAAATATTTCCATCATTTGAAAAAGATCCCTCATGCCTGTTTACAATTAATCCCCATTACCATGTCCATTCCAGGGCCCCACTAATATGTCTAGTGCCTCTATAGAGTTGATACTTTTGTATATTTTTGGTAAGTACAATGATTTTGTATCTGCATTCTTTCATTTACAATAATGTTTTGATATTTAGGTTATAGCAGACATCAATATTTAGTTCTTTTTTGTTGCTGAATAGTACTGAATTGTATGGCTATACCACATTTATTTATCCATTTATCAGTCAATTAACATTTGTTTGGACAAAAGTTGTTAAGGGTGTCTTTTGAAGCATAAAAGTTTAGAATGTTGAAGGAGTTCAAGATGGTGGCAGAGTAGGTGAAAGTTACACTCACCTCCCAGGACTATATCAGAAGAGTGGCTAAAGTATGAAAAAATTCACCTGAATAACCATCTGAAAACCAGCTGAACAGAAGTATTATACTAAGGATTTAGAGAGGAACCCCCATCAAGACCAGTAGAAAGGGAAGAGGCACAAAAGGGGCTGACCCTGCAACTATGTGTGGTGGGAGAGAATCCAGAAGGATATCTCAGCTGAGAAGACACCCCCTGGAAAAGGGAGTGGCCTCAGCCCCAAGCTGGGCACCTACGCTAGCCCACAGAACTAGAAAATCAGCAGGGATTTTACCCTCCCTGGTGAAAAGGGAAATGGCTCTCCTGAAGGGCCAGTGCACAGAATCTCAGTCACAACACTCACTCTAGCAGAGGCCTGGTTGCTCTCAGTACACCAGAGCCATAAAGAGAAAAATTGAATGGCATGGCTGTGAGGAGAAAACTGAAATGACAGCAGCAAGTGTCCTGTGCTGGGTCCTCACCCATCCCACCCACAGAAGCCATCTTCAACAGGAACATTTCAGTTCAGAAAGGATGCTATGAAATATTCAAAGTGATTTTTTTTTAAAGGCTTACAGCCAATAATACTCTACCCAGCAAGGCTATCATTTAAAATTGGAGAAACAAATAGCTTTCCAGACAAGAAAAGGTTAAAGGAGTTTATTGCAACCAAACCAATATTACAAAAAAGGTTAAAGGAACCTCATTAAGAGAAAAGAAAACAAAAGTGAGGAAAATAATTATAAAAAATAAATTGGCAATAAATACATTCTAATTAATCACTTTAAATGTTAATGGATTACATATTCCAATCAAAAGACACAGGGTAGCTTGGATCAGTGTGACTCAGTTGGTTGGAGAATCAACTGTGCGCTGAAGTGTTAAAGGTTCAATTGCCAGTCAGAGCACATACCAGGTTTCAGGTTTAATTCCCCGGTTGAGGAGCTTATGGGAGGCAACTAATCAATGTTTCCCTCTCCCATCAATGTTTCTTTTTCTCTCCTTTTCCTTTTCTCTTCCTCTCTAAAATTAATAAAAATAAAAATGTATCCTCGAGTGAGGATTTCTATTTTTTTAAAGGCATAGTGTAGCTGAATGGATAAGAAAATGTGATATATATCATATGTATATATATACATATATATGTGTGTGTGTATATATATGCATGTGTGTGTGTGTGTGTGTATATATATGACACAGACACTAGGCTAGGAAAGGCAGGAGGGGCTGGGAGCAGGAAGGAGGGGGTCAGTGAGGTAAAAAGGGGGACATCTGTAGTACTTTCAACAATAAAGATAATAAAAATAAAAGACACTCACCTCAGATACACTCAGGCTGAAAGTTAAGGGATGGGAAAAGATATTTTATGCAAATGGAAACTTTTTTAAAAAATCCAAGGTAGCAATAGTTGTATCTGACAAAATAGACTTCAAAACAAAGTCTATAACAAGAAAAAAGGTTATCTATAATGATAAAATGATCAATCCAACAAGCATAAATTTTATGCTTATTCCAACATACAGCACCTAAATATATAAGGCAAATATTGATAAACATAAAGGAAGAGTTCAGTAGTAACACAATAATAGTAGGGGACTTTAATACCCTATTGACATCAATGGATAGATCTTGCAAACAAAAAATCAACAAGAAAACATTGACCTTAAAGGATACATTAGACCAGATGGATTTAATTAATATCTTCAGAACATTATACCCTAAAATGGCAGAATATACATTTTTTTCAAGTGCACATGGAACATTTTCCAGGATAGACCACGTTACTCAGTAAAACAAGAATCAATAAATGTACAAAGATTGAAATCATTTCAGGAATTTTCTCTGACCATGGTGGTATAAAATGAGATATCAACTAAATGAAAAAAGACTGAAATGCACAAAAACACATGGAGAATGAATAATATTACTCAACAACGAATGGATTAACAATGAGATCACGAAAGAAACCAAAAGATACTTTGAAACAAATGAAAATAAGAACAAAAGAAGCCCAAACTCTTACGGGACATGGAGAAAACAGTTCTAAGAAGAACATTCATAGCAATACAAGTCTACCTCATTAAAAAATAATCTCAAGTTAACAATCTAACTTTTCACCTGAATAAAGTAGGGGGGAAAAAATCCAAAAGTGAATAAAAAGAAGGAAATGATAGAATGAAAATAAATTCTAATACAATCTAAAACAATACCAAAAATCAATGAAACCAAGGGCTGTTTCTTTAAAACACAAACAAGTTTGATAAACCTTTATCACACTAATCAAGAAAAAGAGAAACAGTGCTCAAATCAATAAAATCAGAAATAAAAGAGGGATAGAAACAACTGACACCACAGAAATACAAAGGAATATAAGAAAATATTATGAAAAATTAAATGCCAACAAATTGGACAATCTTGAACAAATGAATAAATTTTTAGAAACTTGCAAGCTCCCAAAATTAAATCAAGAGGAATTATTAATCTGAGCAAACCAAATGTATCCAACAAATACAAAGCAGCGATTTTAAAAAAAATCCCAGCAATCAAAAGTCCAGAATTCAGTGGATTCACAGGTGAATTTACCAAACACCTATCCTTCTCAAACTATTCCCCAAAAAATACTAGAAAAGGGATGACTCTCAAGCGTCCTTATTCAAAAACCAGGGGGAAAAAAAACACTACAATAAAAGAAAATTGTAGGCCAATATCCCTGATAAGTATAAATGTAAAAATTATAAATAAAATTTTTGCAATCTGAATTCACCAATGCACCATGATCAAGTGAAATTCATTCCTAGGATGCAATAATGATTTGGAGGAACAAATAGTGGCAGAGTGAATGGAAGCTACACAGACCATCTCTGAGAACCAAACTGGAATTACAACTAAAATAAAAACAAATCATTAGGAAAAACCAACTGAAAAGCAGCTGGAGAGAAACCTTATAGCCAGGGACGGAAAAAGAACACCAAATCAAACCTGGTAGGAACTGCAGAGGTGCAAGAAGGCAGGCTGGAAACCTATGGACAGAGGCTGAGGGCTGCTTTAGCTATGAGCAGTTCTCTCTGACAAGCCAGCTGCACAGCACAGAGTGGCAGCTTACCAGCACAGAGTGGTGGCTCCCCAAAACAGAGGAGAAGCCCCACAGCACAGAGTGGCAGGACAGAGAAAGGCATCCACATAACATCTGGCTGAGATCACCAGAGCTGAGGCTTTGTGCAGCTAGGAGAGGCGCAGTATAAAATGGCACCTCCCTGAATGACCAGAACACTAAACCAAATACAGCCATTCACCTTGGGCTCCAGTAGAAGGAGGGCAGACTGGACTGGAACTGTGTGAAGAGAGATGGGGGTTTGTGGCACAGGGGAGAGAGCTGGGAAGGAGGACACTGGGAATTTTATGCTGAATCACTCCCTCATAGGATAGTAACCATCTGACTCAAAGACTCCCTTCTCAGAGCCCTCAGTAGAACCAATGACCCCTCCCTCAGAAATGTAACACCACCAAGACAGGACAGAGAAATGTACATTGAGGCTCATTAACAGCTAGAGACTACCAGCAAGCAAGGAGGGGAAGAAAAAAAACATTGCCCCACCTGCTGGAAATCCTCTTACCCTGGAAATTTGAGGGATTTTTCACGCAGGTGAGGGCTACAACCTGAGGTTCATTAAGTAACTGAGATTAATAACCTGCAGGCAAAATCTAGAGGATAACTGAACCTTTGCTTGGCCTGCAAATTTACCCAGAAAAATAAGACTTTACAGTAGTGTTTAACATGGGTCTTCCCACACTTATCCAAATTCAATAGAGGGAGCCACAACCAGGGGTACACCAACACCCACAGGGAAAATTTGGCAGTTTCCAA